ACCCCACACACACACACACTTTTTTTGTGTGTCATAGGCTACGACCAGCTGGTCATATGACCATTTTTTTTTTAGTTGGCAGTGGGAGTCGTCTCAAAGGTTCTTAGTTAGAAATCATCACTTATCTGAAGCTCATCAAACCTGTTCCATCCGAGGTGAGTTTGCTTTAATCCTATCAGTCTGTTGCATTGTTGTCAGTGGAGAAAGCTGCTCAGTTTACTAATCTATATATAAAAAAAGAAGGCGCTCATCTCTTTGATCAAATTGGTGCTTCGGCTCTTCTACCTGTATTACGGTATAGTGACAAGCCAACACGGAAGTAGAGCTTGAACGTCGTAAAATCTCTACTCTGCTCGGTTTATTTATATTTTTTAATAGATATGTCATATCGTCACGTTTCCAAAGAAGTTCTGGTCGGTTCCATAACACTCGGAGTTGTTTTTGTCGCAGGGTATTTCTTTGGTAAGCGCGAAAACAGTAAGAATTTGAACTATACATTTGAGATATCAGCGATTTTTGCTACACTAACCTGAAAGGTGCAGAACAGTTGCGCATGCGCATTACTTACGGCTGTGCGAGGAAAGAGGAATTTAGACAGCTTTTAGTGTTTTTATGCGGATTGCAGACCGCATAGTTGTTTGGATTTATTTTTAGTTGACATTTCGAAATAGTCTTACAGCATAACATGCATAACAGACAATTTCATAGAGCTGGTGTCCTGGGTCCAATCCTGGTCGACCAGTTTTTGAGGTTTCTCCATGGTTTTACCTGGTTTCCAATAATAGGTGAATAACAGGCTTCTGCAGAAATTGACAAGGTTTAGTCACTGAATCAGATGTGTTGGCGCAGGGAAACGATGACACCTGTACCTTATTATATTTGCATGTGAGAGGCAAAAATATTGTTCCTATTTTTGCTTTTGAAAACATTTTATTTTCCAATAATAATAATAATAATAATAATAATACTAATAAGGTGATCATTGTAATAGGTTGCGAAAGACTTATTTTGACAGTGATCCTGACCTTTATGGTCAACATTGCATCATGATACACCAGATAAACTGCTTCCAGCTTACAGGATAACAGATCAAAGYTCGTATGCCACTTTAATAAAACTTATGTTTCTGATGTTGTACAGAAGCCTGTGAGTACCCGGTAAGTTCTGGTGCYCTACAATCCAGAAACAGGAGCACAAATGAATTGTAATCTAATTAAATGCATTACAGTAAAGCTGTAAAGTTTTTTTTAGCTTCCCTTTTATATTCTAAACCTCCTACAAACCAAGAGAAAAGCTCCTAAATTGAATTGTCTTACAATTCCCCCACTTTCATCCTTTTTATCTGGTTTTCYTGCCGTAAACCCAATCATTTCATTTCCCCTCTGAGTTCATTTAAGCCAGATCGAATCAAAATGAGCCAGATGGAGGTCTACTGAAGTTTGACATCATTGCCCTGTTAAGCTSCTTTATTGTTTCATGTTTGCCCTCAGGAAAGAGGAAATCTTTCAGAATGAGCATCGTTAAAAGCCACACCAAAGGCAAAGACGACCCACTGATGCAGTATGTCCTCAATCACTCCTTGCGGGAGCATCCGGTCCTCCAAAAACTCAGGCTGGTGAGTGCACATCTGGGTTACTGCTCGCAAAGTCAGACACAACTAAGCTCCCAGTGTCTTAAGAGGTATTTTGGTTTCACAAAGTAATCTGGGGGAATTTTGATGCTTGTTTCTTTCAGAGGACGATGGAGGACTCCTGGAACATCATGATGGTCGCCTGTGAGCAGGCGCAGTTCATGGCCAATTTGGCGAGACTAATTAAAGCCAAAAAGGCATTAGAGATTGGTAAGGGTTAAATGTCAATCTTTTTTTTATAGATAGGAGCAAACACTGCAAAAGCCCAACCGTGTAAAAGTTAATATCATATCCAAGATTGGTATAAATCTGAAATGTAGATGATTCTTTTTTTCTCCTGTAGAGTAAAAACAAGTAAGTTTTCTCTCCGATCATTTCATGGTTTTAGTACCCATCCATTACATTTACAGGCGTATACACAGGCTACAACACACTGAGTATGGCGCTGGCCCTGCCTGAGGACGGAGTTGTGGTCGCTTGTGATATCAGCGAAGAGTACACCAACATCGGCAAACCGTTCTGGAAAGAGGTACACCAGTTCCCAACTTCTGCACCGTGTCATGATGTTCGACAGATGTGTTACAGTGGGGAAAATAAGTATTTAGTCAGTCACCAATTGTGCAAGTTCTCCCACTTAAAAAGATGAGAGAGGCCTGTAATTGACATCATAGG